TCTTTGATTAGCGCAGTGACATTTAACAATTGATGATTCCTCTACAAGTTCCCATATGTTGGAGCTCCTGGGGCTACAAAGCTGGGACATCAGGTCATGTGAGAAACAGGCCACAGAGGGGCTACGACGAACGAAACCACGACACTCCCAACCAGTCATCGCTCCCTAAGGGGAATCCTCTTACAGCATTTCCCCTCGACACTAAAGGCTATTTTCTGTGGAAAAGTAAAATGGTTATCTGCACATCAGTGGAACACAGTGGTTTGATTCTGAAAGATAACTGGCTGGAAACTGGTAAATGACAAAGACTGGCATTTAATTTTGAGGGAAGAATGACTTTCTGTATAATTAATTATTTCTTCTGGCTGGAAACTGGTAAATGACAAAGATGGGCATTTACTTTTGAGGGAAGAATGACTTTTTGTATAATTAATTATTTCCCGTGTTATACAAGAGGTCATTACAAAGAGCATACAGATTTCTGCTATTCCTACAGCCTATACTTGTATTAATTTAACACCTGTCCTCCCTGATGCATGTACACACTACCTAAGGGTTGCTACAATGGATTAATGCTGCCTGTGGAGCTTTCCAAACATAGACCTCCACTTGTCTGATTACGCTGGCACTAAAACACATGCAGTCGATGCCTTAATAAGGGTGAGGTTTCTGTACAGTGTCTGTTCACACTCCAGTTTAGGAAGTCTCTGTTTTAGTCAGATAAGGATCATGAGCCATCACTGCCCACACCTCACTGTCATCTTTACAGATAAGGCTGCTGAAGGTACCCATCACTAGCGTCATTTACCATGTGCAGACTCAGATCTCTTATTTTTGCAGGCCAACGCTTGGTCAAAAACAAAAGCACATCCACTACATGTTCGTCACCTCTCTGACAAGCTAATTGCCTTCTTGGCACCTTGGTGCTACTTCAGAAGCAGGATACAGCCACATAGACACACACACTTACTCCTAGTGTCTCCACAGCATGAAATGACATGGGATAAACATGTTCAACTTGTGTTGCCCATTCATATCAGACAGGTAATAGGGAATGTTCACTCTAGCTCCATACACATCACTGATATGCTAACAAAGCTAAGCCATGCATAGATGTGTGGCAAAAAGGGAGGCCTGGTATGAAGGGATGGCAGATAAATGTTGCCCACTAGATTAGCAGGGCTTTGATCATAACCTCGTGCTCAAAATAAATCCTCTTCTAAAATTCATGTGCCTAATCCATTTCCAGACACAGGGCTTTGAAATTTGATTAGTCAGTATTTAAGTACAGAAAATGCTTGGTGGACTTCCAGTCAGTGTGTCCTGAACTGCGAAGTCTGGACTTGTTAAAGAGCTGGATGCAAGCCACCCAGTCAGACAGTAGCTGTACAGATTTGCATGTCTGGGGTGCATTGTTAAAACGTGGCACTCTCACTCCCAGTGACTTCACAGTGGATGAGTGAGGAAGAAGAAAAAATGTAAGTGTGCCTGGCAAACGGGAAACTATTCAGCTGAGTTGGAGCTAAACATTGCCTGTACAGTTCCAGCCCTTCCCAACAAAAGCCCCTGTGGATTCAGCATTATATTTGGAAAATTACTTGCAGCATATGACTTAAACCTTTGACTTTGAGAGGTATGTGGGTCACTTTATGTCACTGGAGAGAGATCTTCAAATCTAACCCAAATCTTTATTTAATTTCAAGGGTCACAACAGAACTTAATTTATTTAGTGAAAGCATACTGTGTCGTGCCATCTATACTGTCATTAGAAAACTCCACATTTCCCCCAGGGCAACTAATCCCACACATGACATATGGCTTACCAATCACATGACACCGCAGGTCCAGCTGGAAGATCAGAGCTTGTTGTGAAGGAAAAGTGCTTCAGGGCATCAGCAGTCCCCAAACAAAACACAATAGAAAGAACCAAAAACCCTTTTGCTGGCAATAAATATCCACCAACCACTACTTTATCTCACTGAACAATGCAAGTGATTAACAACTGACTCAATACACAAAACAGTTCCTGTCCTACTGAGGAAAACAACCTGAGGCAAAAGAGAGATTAGGTCTAAATACAGTGCTTTCTGGGAGTGTAATTGGATGCAATAATTCTGGAAACACCCGTGTTTGCCACTCGTGTGAATAGGTCACACATGAGACCATGACCCTGCTCTCAACATGGGTTTTAATCTGGTTAATGCTGCTTGTCTTTGGATACATTATTCTTCAGTCAGATAACATCAGTGGTTACATGTCATGTTGTGGCTGTGTCCTGTACAGCAGTCACTGAAGACACCACAAGGTCTTTTCAATTCCATGGACACTGTTGCTGACCCTTCCTTTGCTGGGCTTGGACACTAAGGTATTAAACATGCTTTTCGGGAACAAGTTGGACTTTTTAGAATCTGCTTTATTGGGCCGGTGTGTCGAACACATTAAATGTTTATGAATAAAGAAAATGTTATGCAAAACTCTGATTATGTTAAATTGTGTAAACTAAGGTTCTACCTCAAAAAATACTGAGTCATGTACATAAACCTGACAACAAACAGTGATCCATGGGAAGTGTTTTAAGTAATGATGACAAAAAGGAGCACTATGTTTTAAGCTTGAGTCCTTTGTTTGTTTAGTGGCTCTGACTACTTAAAGGCAAATCCAAGGGCTTGCAAAGTAATTATACCATATGTCCACAGATAACAACTCTAACCCAAGCAAAATACTATTTAGCCTTGATAGATCACAATGAGGAAAGTTAAATTCCAGGGGTGAATTGGCAAAGCTGCAACAGCCACTTTGTCAACTCTCCAGTGTAAAACAGCACTACACAGAATGGTGCTGTGTTCAACATGCCATGGTCATGCACCAGATTTTTGTGGGAAAGGGATTATATGAAATGTTTCCCTGAATGGCCTGCTATCACTTCATAAGTCAAGGCCTGCAGAGACAACCGCTGAGACTGATTTTCATGAGACTGGTCGCAATGGGGCCTGTGTAGACAACTAATGCTCCATCCATGCATGGCCTGGCCAGGCTCTTTTCCCTGGACATACAGAAACTAACTCCTCCGCAATCCCCTTTAGCTCCCAACTAAAGCTGAGCACTGGCAGGCAGGCTTCAATCATCTGTTGCTGCACTACAATAATTTTATAGCGCCAAATGACAAAAGAGCTTACCCTCAGATAGAATTTAAGAAGCAGCATAGATTAAAATTGGGGTTTGGGGACCTCAGAATCACATCTCTGCTTTTTGCAGATGAAGTAGTTCTGCTAAATTTCATCAGACCAGGACCTCCACCGTGCACTAGGATGGTTTGCAGCTGAGTGTGAAATGAAAGGAATAAGAATCAGCACCTCCAGATCTGAGGCCATGGGTCTCTGCTGGAAAAGATGGATTGCTCCCTTTGGGATGGAAAAGAGTTGCTTCCCTAAGCAAAGGAGTTTAAGTTTCTCAGGGTCTTGTTCTTGAGTGAGGGCAAGATGGAACATAAGATTGACAGGCAGATTGGTGCAGCACCAGCAGTAATGTAGGCTTTGGACTGTTGTGGTAAAGAGGGAGGTGAGCCAGAAGGCAAAGCTGTCAATTTATCATTCAGCCTATGTTCCAGCCCTTACCTATGGCCACCAGCTTTGGGTAGTGACCAAAACAATGAGACTGCAAAATACAGGCAGCCAAAATGAGTTTCCCCCATAGGGTGGCTGGACTCTGCCTTAAATATAGGGTGCGGAGTTTGGACAGCTCCAAAGCAGCTCAGAGTAGAGCTGCTGCTGCTACTTCATGTCGTAAAGGAGCTAGCTGAGTTGGTTTGGGAATTTGATTAGGGTGCCTCCTGGGTGCCCTCTATTAGATGTTTTCTGAGCACATCCAACTTGTAGGATACCCTAGGATAAACCCAAAGCACACTGGAAGGATAGCCTATGTTATCTAGCCTGGGAATGCCTTGGGGGCCACCAGGAGGAGC